TTCCATGAACGGACGAAGCATTTGAAGATTGATTGTCACCTCGTCCGTGAGCAGTATAAGGATGGTTTTGTGCTTCGTTCGTATATTCCATCCGAGTTGCAACTTGTTGACTTTTTTACGAAGTGTTTAACAGCTCCACAGTTTGCTCTTTTACTGTCCAAGTTGGGGCTTTTTGATCCTCATCAGCCTCCAACTTGAGGGGGGGATGAAGAATATTATGTACAATTGTAATAGTCACTTAGAGTCAGTTAGTTGTTGTCCTAGTCAGCACTTTCTTGTTTTCTTGTTAGTTAGTCGGTTATCCTGCATCTATTTATAGTTGTACTGTGGAGCTAATTAAAAAAGAAACACAGACACAGTTTCTTTTCTTCTTGGTGCTCCTCTGCATCCGTTTTGCTTCGATTTTGTTCTTGAATATTTCGTTCTGTTTCTGATCAATTTTATTCTGTTTCTGATCATAGACCAACCTCAAAAGTCAAAAGCTTCTCCCGAAATAAAACCCAATTTCCACCAAGCAAACAAACCAAACCTCTAAATCCGCCACAATCCCTCCAAGCATAACATCTCTCAGAACCACCCCCACCGGACAAGGTCGATAATCCTAAAACAATCTTTTCCCTGGAAGAATACGCACAAGGAGGAACAAAAACCCCGCCAGAATCACTAAAATCAGACCTGAAATCTCCTCCAAGTCGGCTAAACAACCGAGCAAATGAGAAAACCAGGAAAAATTCACAGACCTAGATGACAGAAGAGGAAAAATTACAGAGCTAGATGAGAGAACAGAGAAAAATCAAAGGCCCAGATGGGGAAATCAAGAGAAAACTATAACCCAGATGAGAAAATCAAGAAAAAACGACGACGTAACAGAGAAGAACCAGATATTTAGCTCCCAAAATCGAAACCAGGGTCGTAAGAGAAAAGTAAGATAGAAACCCTAGGCTTCTTAAAAATCACACAAAACCGGAAAGGACATCTCTCTAATAAAAATCCCCTCCCACCGCAAAATCAACAGAGAGAATAAAATTAAATTAAATTAAATTCGCATTTGTTAAAGAGGGTGTCAGTTTTCCTGCTGTCACAAATAGACCCAACTCAACCAGGTCAAACAAAACAAAACATCGAAACAAAGAAAAGAGAAAGTGTGGGAGAGGATGGATTAAAATTAACATCTTTTGACAATCTCAGAAGGAAACGAAACAAAACCGGAAGAAAAACAAAACAAAGCAAACCGAGGAAAAAAAAGAAATAGAAAAAAACATTAATATTAAAGCAAGTAGTCCTTTTAATCTAACCAAAAAAAAAAAAAACAGAAGAAACTTTGTGATTGTTTTGATTCATGGGTACCCACGAGATTCGGAGATTATGAACCCAACAAGTTGTCGTGCTCAAAAAGATAAACAAAAGCTAGTTTTAGTTCTCTTATGTTTTTTTTTTAGATTCGGTTCTTAGAGGTTGGAAATTCTGGAAAATCACGAAATGGATTTTGTTTCGTCAAGTGATTTTGTTTTGTAAATTTTTTTTTTTTGAGTTCTGACTGACGCGATTGGATTCATGAGGCTTGACTGATGTTCCCATCTGCCCAAAGCTTTGAGTCCAACTCTCTCTTTCTCGTCTTTATAGCATCTACAGATTTTTTATTTTTGATGCGTTCATCTAAATTCCTCCTGTTGCAAATTGCAATTTAATCTCTCTCTTATCTCTAGTTTCTATGGTGTCTATGTGGTAAAAGTGGTAGTTCGATCTTCCGTGGTCTGATGAGATGAGCTGAGAAAGCGATGCATATCTGGGTCCCAGTCAGACACGAGGATGTATCTGTCTGTCCCTGTGTTCTCAATCTTTCTCATCTCTCCCTGAGAAGTGAGAATTGTTGCAGTGCTTTTTAGCGCTTCATCTTATGTTCACATCAGTCTGGTGTCTGGACTTCCTGTTCCAGATGATTGGCCATGCTTGCATCGATATTCGGAGCTTGGAATTAACAAACGAAAAGGGTCGGATATGGACTGCATCCAGCCAAATGGCCCAAATCCAATCCACTCCAATTGCTTACTACGCTACTTCCTACATCACCACACTTTGAGGAAATATGCATGATTGAGATTTGAGATCGAGATGAGATCCATATCCCATACCCTTCAAGTCTATCAACATTCAACCATCCCCGCTCCGGATTATTTACTTATCTTTAATTTAAAATAATGTTTAGGGAAGAGAATCCATATCTACTAAGTCGGGTTTTGGATAGAACCGCTCCATTTCATAGACTTACCAGGAAGCAATGACCCCGACCGGATCGGTCTCCTTAATTAGAACGTGGGCGATATATGAATATGTATATGAATATGAATATGATGAGACCCACTTAAATGAATGGTCTCGATTCTTCGTTTGGGGTGGGTAATGATTCAGGCACATCCCATTCTCCATAACGATTAACGACGGCACACTCGTTACTCGAAGATCGTAATCATGAGACAAGAGGGTGTACATGTATGAAACATTTACTAATTGCCCTTTCCATATAAACCGGGTCCGGGTTGTGCCCAAATCAGACCAGAAAACAGTTAAAAAAGAAGGGAAAAAAATTAGAATCTACCAACGTTCAAAATATCAATACACCCGATACTCCCCTACCGGCGGGTGTTTCGATACTCATTTTTTTACTTTTTTTTTATTTTTTTTCAAAACTGGTTCAGGTGAGAAGGTCTAGGACCCCTCCATCCCCTGAACCGGTCAGACCCCCGATACACCCACTGTAGGGGCATATCGGAAGGGTCCCGGAACGATACATATCGGCCGATACGTAACGATACTTTGAACCTTGGAATCTACCCAATCCCATACCCGTTTGATACTAGAGAGGGCCCCTGCTATGCAGGGGCAAACCATGATGATAAATTTGAAAGAAAAAATTGGAAATGAGAAAAAAAATAATAGAGAAATTAGAGAAATTGCAAGTCTGTAAATGTATTTGATCATTGAGCGGGCACCACTTTCGAGAAAACAGACAATGTACTGTGTGACACATGTCCTAGTTAATGTGACTTTTCTCAACTCCCAACACGTTTAGATTTCCCCTTTTTCATTATTTTTATTTTTAATTATTTTGACAAAAATAATAAAATAATGGATAATTTCTAACGGAACAAAAACATTTGGATGAAAAACAAATTATCTGGGACATGTGTCACATAACTATTATGTGTTCACTCATTGTGCTTATCTAACGTGCCTACTACATCCGGACCCGCATTTTACATATTCTTAAAGCCTTTATTATTTATCAGTTACAAACCCATTAGGCTCAGAAGGGAGTGGGGGCCAAAGCTATTACCCTCAGAACCCATCCCTCCACAGCTGCTGCTGCTGCTACTACTACTATTATTATTATAAATTAGATAATTTATTTTATCATTTTTAAAAGTTTAAGTAATTACCGTTTAGTTTTTTGTTATTATTAAATAATTAATGTAATTATTTAAAGTAGTTACTATAATTTTAGTAATTTAGTAACCAATTTTGAACAATTAACTAATTTGATTATTAAAATTAAAGCAATTAATCCAAATTAAATAATCTAATTTAGTAGTTTTAATTATGTAGCCATTATTTTTCAATATTATTAATTTATTAGTAATTAATTATTATTTTAATTATAAAATCAAAATGTTTTCAACAACATTTTGCTAATCATTATAATAATATCTCATTTATTAATTTATTATGTCTCATTTACTCAATTTATTCTGATGGAGTAATTGAAGTATACAAAATAATCATCATCTTGGGTTCCATTTGGATTTTTTTTTTTTTTGCTTTTAGACTTTGGATTATGAAAAACAAACAAAAAAATGAAGAAAAGCTGTTTTGAGATTTTGATATGCAACAGTTTAGGTTCCATTTGGATAATTCTTTTGCTTTTGGACTATTAAAAACAAACAAAAAAAAAGCTATTCTGAGATTTTGATATGCAATAGTTTAATCCTTTCTCAGTCTGGACAAGTATTTGCTAATGCAGTGCAATCCAAGGTATCATAGCAGATGTTAACACATATATGATGTTGATTATAGCACATTGGTTCCCCGATAGTAGTCTAGCACTCTAACTAACAACTATCCAATTTCTTGATATTAGAGTAATACAATGCACAGACATAGAACTGAGTGCAAGTAATATACCTCCTTGAAAGAGTGAACATCACTTCCCCAGAGCCAAGAATCACACCCCGCATCTCTTGCACCCCATATATCATTCCTTTGATCATCGCCAACATGAACAACCTCCTCAGGTTTTAGTCCCAAAAGTTCACATGCCTTCAAAAATATTTTAGGATTTGGTTTCTCTGTTTCAACCTGTTGTGAAAAATATCATGGACCATTAAAATGGAAGTAGTATAATATGGCCAAGCCACCATATCTTGATTTACATACCTCAGTTGACACTGCTATAGCATCAAACCAATGTTCACAATTCAATGCCCGCAAAACAGGTCAAAGTTAGAAACAACAGCTATTTTCACACCAGCTTTTCTAATGGCCTCAAACACCTTCTCAGCAACAGGATCACAGAGGTGCCAAGCCTGAGAAACAGTCAAAGGATATACGTTCAAAATTCTGTAGATCGAAAGGTATATAAATGAGAAAATTTTCTAATAGAACTGTCACAACCTTGTCAGTTGTATAGTAGTTATAAAGTTCCTCAAAGTACCCTGAATTTGAATAACCAGTGGAAGATTTGACTATGAATTGCCAGAAGGGTCTTCCATTATCAACATATCTGCACATAGAGATAGCCTCAAAAATGCCAAAGCAGTTAAACAACAAGATTGATCATCACTCATCAGCGGGTATTACACTAAAAATTACTCTTACTCACTTGTGCCGTGGGTTGGGAGGGAACAAGGAGGGTCCCAACAGCGTCGACGAGAAGAGCCATGTGAGTGATATCACCGTACAGAGGCCTCCTGTAGTAGCTTGGATTGGACAACTTGGGCTTTGACAGGTTCAGCCACTCCTGAGCCTGGGCCAAATATCCAGGCCTAGCCAATAAAAATAAACCAGCATCAAACGCCGATAGAACCTGGGTCCGTATGGGAGAGAGATATGAGAGAGAGACATTGACAGATAGAGAGAGAGAGACCGAAGAAGATGGGGGCGGGCGGAACCCCTGTTTTCAGTGTAAAAAGTGAAGAAACACAATTAAAAAAAAGATTGGGCGGAGCCCCTGTTTTTCCATGAAGAAGAAGAAGGGGGTGGGCGGAACCCCTGTTCGGTGTAATAAGTGAAGACAGTAACACAACGAAAAAAAAAAAGAAGGCGTAGAACTTGGCGTTGATCAATAGTATAAAACCAAAACCCTGGGTGTTTCCCAAGAAAAGCCCCTGTATCATCTTCCAACAAGATGCCTTCCATCTCTCCAATGTGTTTTGCAATGAATTCACTGAACTTTATCCATAATCAATGCGTCATCAACTTCAGCACTAAGGTGAAAGAAATAAAGAATGATCTGACTTAATCTCCTACAAGCTATTAATTTCTGGAACTCCTATTCAGCCTTTTGTATGTAATTTATTAAAGGTATTCACTTGGAATATGGATTTAAATCTGTTTCATCACTGCCATCTAGGACTCCTTCAAAGATCTCTCTGAGAACCCTTGTTAGATCAGTTAATAGGTGCAGATGCTTGAGATACAACCTTAAGGTTCAGTCTCAGCTGTCTCGAGGACTGCCAACAAAAAATAAAAGATAAATGAATAAAAACAGAGATAGTGTATCGGGTGGAAGAACTGAAACAACCAAACTCCAACTTTCACAACGCTGCAGACAGAACAATATACTTAAATAGGAATAAGTCAAATAACGAAGTTTGGAGGGGGAATCCGATCTAAGAAAAAGCCACATTAATATCAATAGCCTGCAAAAATTTCCCGAGGAAACAACTCAAAGCAATAAGGAGGAAAAAAAAATGATAACTGCAACTTTGCAGATTCGAAATGAAAAATGAAAATTGTTTGGTTAAGTCGTATACAGACATCAACGCCAAATGAAAATTGTTTGACCAATCAAAACTATAGCAGTGCAAATGATTCGAGTGTAAATTCTGAGCTATTTTTGTTTCAAATTTTAGCTTATTTTGTTTGATTGCAGTACAAATGAAGGAAATTGTACTGCATACATTTATACTAATGCACTCCCATACATTTATACTAATGTATAGATAAAACACAAAATAAAATGAAACCAGAATTTGCATTTTTTTTATTTGCAGTCCCATACATTTATACCTAATGCAAATAAAATTGCACTGCAACCAAACACAGCCTTAAATTATTAATTAGTGGATATTAGATTATTAATGTTAATTATTATATATAAATATAATCAACTTAAAAGAATATAGCATATAACTGAAGTAGTTTGTGTAAACAGTATAAATTACAAGGGGGCCTACTTACTATATGCAAATTTCTTGGCCTTAACCTGATGACTGAACCCATGGCCTTAATAGCTAGAGATCATGCTTTTGTGCTTACCTTAGGAACCGGAGGTGGCTCAATTGCACATGCTTTTGTAAGGTCATTGCAGAGAAACTTTACCAATGCATCAATCAAAGGCTTTGCTTTAAAAAGATATTCCGCAACATCAGTGTCAGAATAACCCATAACCTGGAAAATGTTTAAATGAAGGTTCAGTTATGTTACAAGAAAATGTATAGCACCTGATTGATTCACAATCTCAAAAGCTAAAGCTAAGGTCATAGCATGGAAGTGCTAAGAAAATGCATAAAGACTGATAGAGGAATTCGAGGGATGATTCGATATTTTATTTCATAATTGGAAAACGAGGAGACGCATTGAGAGAGAGACAGATTCAGGCAATTGAATAAAGTTCTGAAAAAATTTCACAGGATAAAGATGACAATTTAGAGAAGCAAAGAGACATGTGAGTATGTATTTCAAGCTTCAACTA